GCCAGCCACGGCCAGCCCCCTTGGGGCATCAGGGCCCCCGGGGCAAGTGGCTTCCAGGCTCCCTCGTCTCCCTGCCTCCACGGGGCTGCCTGCCTTGTCACACGGGGCCTCGGTGGCACCCCCTGGGGGGGCAGAACTCCCGGCTGCCTCGGTGTCCTGCCCATCCAGGGCTACCTTGGGAAGCTCGGGCCTCAGCCCCTCAGAGTCGCTCCCCTCGTCAGGCCATTTGGGGCTGGGGGCCAGGCCCTCCCCATCCAACTCGCCCGGGTCAGAGAGGCCAGAATCGTCGGCCTCTCTGATGGGGGATCTGGGAGGTTCCCACTCTGCTGCCCGGGGCGGGAATGCCCATTCGAACGACTGCGACAGGCTCCAGTTGGACTCGCTTTGCAGAGGCTGCCCGCAGTGGGGGGGGCCTCCCCTGGGCAGGGCAGCCAGGGAGCCTCCAAGAACCCCCATTCCTTGCCCCTCGCCTGGCAGCTGCACCACGCCATCTGAGGCACGCCGGAGCCCCAGCTGCGGGGGCTGGAAGCCCTTGTCCATTGGCACGGGCCCGGAGTCACTGGGGGGCAAAGGGGAGCCCTGCTCAGGAGATGAGGGGCCATCAGGGGACCTCGGGGTCTCAGCAGGCCCATCAGAAGACCCAAGAGATTGAGAGACACCGATGGAGAGTTTAGGAGACAGACTAGGGGTGTCTGGAGATAGAATAGGAGATTTGGGGGCCCCTGGGGAGTGAGTGGTTGTGGGGGACAGGTCAGCAAGTGGTCCTGGGGCCAAAGGCCGTCCTACAGGGGGGCTGCCGGTGAGCTCTGTGGGGGCATCAGGGGGGCCTGGTTCCAAGGGCTGGCCTGCAAGAGAGCTGGGGGAGAGCTCTGTGGGGGCAGCAGGGGAGCCTGGTGCCAGGCCCACAGGAAGGCCAGAGGGAGGTGGGGACTGCCCAGGAGTTTCGGGAGACCCCGGGGAGTGGGCAATGCGGAGGCAGGGTTCCGCTGGAGCGTAGGGGGCGCCAGGGGCCGGAACCAGGCTGACGGAGTCCTCAGCCAGAGCCTCGGGAGTGTCAGGGGAGCTAGCCCTGACCCAAAGGGGGAGCTCAGTGTGAGCAGGGCGGGAGCACGGGGCGGGGAGCTCAGGAGGCAAAGCAGGGGACCCGGGCGCTGAGGCAGGATGCTCGGCAGGGAGAAAAGGGGCCCCTGGGGCCGGAGCAAGGCCAGCAGAGGAGCTGGGGGAGCCAGGGGCCACCCCGAGGGGGAGCTCAGCCGGAGCTGCGGGAACGGGGCAAGGCCGGGCTGAGAAGAACTGTGAGAAGAATGAAAATCAGAGTCATTAGCCATGCACCCCCCCGGGGACCCGGGCGCTGAGGCAGGATGCTCGGCAGGGAGAAAAGGGGCCCCTGGGGCCGGAGCAAGGCCAGCAGAGGAGCTGGGGGAGCCAGGGGCCACCCCGAGGGGGAGCTCAGCCGGAGCTGCGGGAACGGGGCAAGGCCGGGCTGAGAAGAACTGTGAGAAGAATGAAAATCAGAGTCATTAGCCATGCACCCCCCCGAGCCGACCAGGCTTCC